TGTGATCACTGTCCCTCTGAGTGTGATCACTGTCCCTCTGAGTGTGATCCCTGTCCCTCTGAGTGTGATCACTGTCCCTCTGAGTGTGATCCCTGTCCCTCTGAATGTGATCACTGTCCCTCTGAATGTGATCACTGTCCCTCTGAGTGTGAACACTGCCTCTTTCAGTGTGATCACTGCCCCTCCCAATGTGATCACTGCCCCTCCCAATGTCACCCTAGTACAGTAAGTGTGTTACTGGCTGGATCACCAGGTGTATAAAGGAAACAAAGAGACAACTAAAGCAGCCGTCACATCTAAGGATTGGTAACCTGCAATATATTACATTTCTGGTTTTGGGTTTAGATATGCTGTACATGGTAAAAAGAATTCTCGGGGCACTGTGGATTAGCTAAAGAGACAGTACAGAAGAGGAAGTTTGCTTTTCTTCACATTAGTCTGATTGAGGCCTCATTCAGTCGGACCATTTAGTGCCAACATGTGGCTACAATTTGCGGATTCCTGTAGCAGCAATCAGAGGTGGTTGCGGACAGCTGCAGCTGCTCAGCCTGTACGAAACAATGGCAAGCTGATTGTTCACATGTCTCCGCACATCCAGGGGCACATCTGCCACGAGGCTTGGGCAGCAGTTTTCAGGGGGGCCGCCCCCAAAACAGGCAGCCGGGCAGAGGAGTCAAAGGACAGAGTCGGCGACGAGGCAGAGGAAGCGCCGTGGAGGAGGAGGCAGGGCAGCCATCAGAAATTTCGGGGCCCCCTACACGACTTTAGGCCGGGCCCCCCCACGCACAGTTATTATTATACATTTATATATAGCTCTGACATATACCGCAGTGCTGTACAGAGAACACTGAGCCAGTCACATCAGTCTCTGTACAGGTCTGTGCACAAGCGCAAATGCTGAGGTCGGCAAATTTGATTACGTTGGTATTCTAGACAGAACACCGGTATCTGCGTTTAGTATCGGGGGGATTTTACGCAGATGAGAGAATGTGAAAAAGACCACCA